TCCGATCCCTTTTTTGGAAGAGGTTTATAAAAAACAATTTTAAAAAAGCAGCAGTGTAGATGGGTTTTTTTGTGCAAAACCCTCCCTTTTTCAAAAGAACCCTTACTCCTTAAAAAATGAGATTTACAGGTTTCTTTCGAAAAAGGGGGGGTTGCGTGAAAACCCCCGTTTAGACTACTCCCCCCCAAAAAAAAACCTCTTCTGAAAAAGGGATCAGAAGAAGATAAGCAAATTCACACCAAATTTGAATGTCTTCTTTCAGAAGCCAAGGGTAGTCTAGACATGCCCCGAGACAATTATCTCCTCCACCAGTAGCATACAAACAATTCTCTGAAGCTGGATAGTTTCCTCAGCCTTAGATGTCCCCACAGGAATACTCTCAAGGAATTCCTCATGGGCATAAATGCTCCTTAGCCTAACCTCTGCCCCATGTAGCTCTCCCACCTGCTTCCTGAGAGATTCCACCAGCAGGCACCTTTCACATTGGATTCTCTCTCCAGGTTGGATTTCGGTATGTGGGAAATGCGAGCCACGGTTTCTCCAAAATCACACCAGGATCTGGATAGAGGCATCCATAGTCAGGTTGTCTGTTTGGCTACAGGCACAGGCAGAGGAGACAGGAGCAGTGTTAACTCTTCCTAACAATACAGGTTGTACTACGACTCCCTGTTATGGACTCTGTCTTACAAACTGCCTCTCAAACTCCCCTGTTAGTGTTCCCCTGGTGGCTTAGCTTCTGGCTTTTAAGACCTTCTCTCCTAGGTCAGCCCTACCCCTCTGTTAAGCACACAGGAGGAGGGTGATCACAAGCTGATTAAGACTGATCAAGAGAACAAAGGCTCAAACACTCCCAGACACACAAACCCAACTGATAAATGTAACTAAAATAACTGAAATTATCTGAAACAGAAGAAAATGCAAACAGTCAAGCAAATTTACTCCAAAGTTAGTACTCACACCTTGTTTGTTCAGTGGGAGGATCTCCTCTTCCTCTCAAACTCCTGTTCTCTGTTCCCAAGCTCCCTGAATCAGGGATGTTGCAATAGAATATTGTTGGTATAATATTAACCAGCTTTCTACATTGTTTTTAACATTGGCAAGGCTTCTTTATTGTCAAAGCTAATGCAGTCAACATACCCATAATGTTTATCATCTAACACAATCTGCTATATAACATCTTCAAATAATGCTGCCACTAAAGGCTGTAACTATTATACTGCTTTATGATAATGTTTATAAAGGGATATAGGATGCAAGTCAGTGAATATACTAGCATTGCACTACTTTAAACCTGGATTTATATCTCCAATAGGTCAACCATCAAAAGAAATTTGATGGTTTAGTCTTTGTGTTTATTTGTCCACATCATAACCAGGGAACATGTGTTTTAAAAGATTTGTTAAATGTACAAGATAATTAAGGTAATAAATCAAACATTACTAATGCTAGATGTGCTAAAACAATATAATAAAAAGTGGGGATATGTCTACACTTGCTCCCTAGTTCAAACTAAATTGCTAATGAAGCGGGGATTTCAATATCCCGCGCTTCATTAGCATGATCTCACCGGCGTGTTACTCCGCTCAAATTGCTGCTTAACACTGGGAATAGATTTTAGATTATTATAATTATAATTGAAGTAAATTATTATAATTAAAAGACACTTTCATAGAGGATACGAAGTCTTCAGAGCCCACTGGTATATGTTTATTTTTTGTTTAATATTTACCTATATATATGTGCAAATTAAATTTAATCTGCCAATACAGTGCTTAGTCCCAATCCTTCCTTCAGAGTATACGCAACTTCCAGAATTCACTGCATGAGAAGGAGCGCGAACAGGAACAGCTAATAGGAGAGTTTGGAGAGGGAGTTCTCCAGGTAAAAGAGGAGTAAAAACCGGACCCTTGTGGTAAGTGGCTGTCTGGAGTGTGTGTTTGTGTGTGGGGGAGTTATTTGCAGTGTGCTGAGCTTGTGTTTGTCTGTTTGGTTTGTTTGTTTGGTTTGTTTGTTTGAAGGAGCTTCTAAAAGGTTTGAAATCTAGAAGCCTCTGTTAATTGGCTGAGCCTCAGTCAGGGGGAGGGGCTAGCAGAGCTTCATAAGCCTGTGAGTCAGTGACCAGGAACAGCTAACAGGAGAGCTTGGAGAGGGAGTTTAGAGGGGGTAGAGAGCACTAGTGACTTCTGACCTTCTTTAAAACATAACTATTAGAATAATCTATATTCCAGAGGTTTAAAAAAAATCCCAGTTTAGACAAACTTATTCATTAGAAAAATGCAGACAGAAGCCCAGCAGCAGAGTGGGGGCTATCCTGTTTATTGCATCGAGTGTAACATGTATGATTACCTGCCCTGTGGGCGGGTGGCATGTGTGTACACCCGTTGCAAGGAGCTCCTGACCCTCAGAGACCAAGTTCAGGCTTTGGAGGCCAGGGGGGCTGAACTGGAGAAGCTAAGGGAGGTAGAAAGATATGTTGATGAGACTTTCCGGGACACTGTAGTACTATCCCACCTCCAGTCTGAGAGCCCCAGTGCTCTTAAGGAGGATGAAAGTCTCAAGGGAACAGAGCATTCAATGGGAGCAGAGGGAAACCATCCCGTAGTGGGGACCCTCCTCCCAGAGGATGCTGCAGTATCCTCTCGCACTGAGGATACCTCTGAGGGGGGGGGAATGCCAGTTAGGAAGAGGCAGGTGTTAGTAGTGGGTGATTCGATCGTTAGAAACATAGATAGTTGGGTTTGTGATGACCGGGAGAACCATATGGTCACTTGCTTGCCTGGTGCGGAGGTTGCGGATCTCTCGAGGCATCTAGATAGAATTATATGTAATGCTAGGGAGGAGTTGGTGTTCGTAGTACATGTAGGTGCCAATGACGTAAGGAAGGGTAGGAGAGATGTCCTGGAGGCCAAATGTAGGCTGCTAGGAAAGAGACTGAAATCCAGGACCTCTATGGTGGCATTCT